CTGTGCCCTCAGGCTACCTCCTGCTAGCCACAGCCTGAGAAATGCAGTGTAGTGTAGCTAAATCTTCAGTTTTTCTAGAAGTATTTTAGACTGTATTTTTTTCGAAATGTGAAACTCGTTATTTTTCATCAGCAGGGCAACTCCACTGGCCAGATGGAGTTAGTTGCTTGAGTTTGCCATGTAGTCTTGGGTTTCAGTTTCATCACTTAAAACTAGTGATGGTACTCTTTTAAGCCAGGGGTTAACTTATAAGAGAAAACAGAGGGCCAGCTTACCACACTGGGCCTGGGCAGGAATCCAGCTAGGAAAGTCAGTTACTACACTCTGTGCTATTTGATAGTGCCCAGGCTTCAGAGGTTATAATCCTCATCCGTTTGGGGGCTGCCACCATATGATTAAAAGTAATCACGGAGGTTACCCAGGTCTTTCACGTTCGGTGGTAAAGCATACAACGTATAAAGGGGGTTTGTATTTTTGTGTATTAGTTAAAATAACTAGCCACCCTCCCTGCCAAACTCTCCAAAAACCTCATTACACAAGTGGTATATTTTGGTTAAAAGTAGGCTTCAACAAAAATAATTCAAAAGAACATTAACCTTCAAGGTGGTGCCAGGCAACTTAAGATTGGTGAACACTGTTGGTGCCAGACACCAAGAAGACCCCCCCAGACACCTTTACCCCACCCCCACCCCCCGGAGGCTACGAAAAGGGCAGGTGCGCGGGTCTTTTGAGGACAACAAGGTAAAGGAAGAGGGTATATTCCATTTCGTCACTCCGACCCGTGCTGAGGGCCTAGGAGGAGACCTGGAAACCCGGGTTCTGCCACTTCTAGCCAGGCGACCTTGGGCTGCGAGACTTTCCCCGGGCTATTTCCTCTTGAGGAAAATGGAGACGCCAAGGCTGCCAATGGTGGGATGGGGGGGCGGGCAAGAAGCGGAGAGGCTACTGCGGGCGGTAGGACTCTCCCACCGGCCACTCAGGGACATATCGCCAAACCAGCTGACTTCGGGAACCCTCCGCAGGGCCTTGACTCGCGCGGGTTCTAAAATGAGAACAAAGCCCGCCCGGATCTAGAGCGCGGGCGCCATCACGACCAATAGGACGCCGACGCAAGGCTGAGCGACGGGCTGGCGCAGCCAATGAACATGCGCTTTGTTGCGAGGTGTCTCCCGGAGCCCGGCATTATAAAGAGCGCCACGAGTCGGCATTGTCAGGCGGCGGCACCGCGCGGGCCGGAGCTTGGCTTTAGGTCAGTGGTTCTGGTCGGAAGCTACCGAGGAGGCGGGAGCGCTGTCGGAGCGGCTCCGTCGGTGGACGGAGGCGAGGCCCCAGCAGCGCGAGCCTGAGCGCAGCCGAGCTCGCGCGGTGCCTTCCCCAGCGGGTGGGGACGAGCGGGCCCCGCGTCGTCATGACGCGCTGTCGCCGCTCGTTGCAGGAGTCGCCGCGCCTCGGCCTACCATGTCGGAAGCGAGTGAAGAACAGCCAATGGAGACGACGGGCGCCACCGAGAACGGACATGAGGCAGCCCCCGAAAGCGAGTCGCCGGCTGGGGCTGGCACCGGGGCCGCGGTGGGGGCTGGAGGCGGGACCGCAGCGCCCCCGAGCGGGAATCAGAACGGCGCCGAGGGTGACCAGATCAACGCCAGCAAGAATGAGGAGGACGCGGGGTAGGTGGGGCCGCGGGAGGACAGGGGCGCCGCCTTTGTTCGGGGCCGCCTTTTGTTGGCGCCACGCGGCGGGGGGAGGGGCGGCGGCCCGGCCGGGGCCTGTGGACTGGTCCCCGCCGCGCCCGTGCTTCTGCTGGTTCGCCGCCGCTCGCTCCGGAGTTTGCAGGAGTTTGTTTGGTCGACTTTGGCGCCGCCCTGGGGCCGCTAGCGCGCTGCTGGGACCCGGGCAGTCGCAGGGGCGGACAGCCCGGAAGAGGAGCGCTGTCGGACCCGGGGCCGAGCGAGTTTGGGGCTGCGCCGGGCTACGTGGGCGGAGTTGGCGCGCGCCCAGCTCAGGCCTCCCGCCTCTCATCGAGGGCGGAGTCAGGGTCTGAACCCGCGGCGGTCTCGGCTCCCGGAAGCCTTGAGTTCCTTGAAATGAGTTCTCGGGAGGCGGAGAAGACGTCAGCCTTTTGATAGGAGGTTGTGGCGCGCAATGCATTCACAGTTGTAAGCAGAGAGAGCCCGTAACCCAGGCGAGGTTGTCCTCTTCTCTCCCAGCATGGGGCTACAATCTTGTCAAGCTTACTTTCTTAGGATCCAGGTTGAGTTGAGTTTGGAAGGTAGTGGAGATGTAACGTTCTTCAGAGATGTAGACTCTGAGTGGTTGTAGACCTTGTCTATAAAGGTGGTGGCTTCTTGAAGTCGCAACTTTCTCAAAAGACTTGTTGCCGTGTGTCTCTTCCTACCATTTCAGGAAAATGTTTGTCGGTGGCCTGAGTTGGGATACCAGTAAGAAAGATTTAAAAGACTATTTTACTAAATTTGGAGAGGTCGTTGACTGTACAATAAAAATGGATCCCAACACTGGACGATCAAGAGGGTTTGGGTTTATCCTCTTCAAAGATGCAGCCAGTGTGGAGAAGGTAAGCTGGTACTGTGGTTTCAGTGGATAGTATTGGAATTACAATAGAACACATGATTGGTTTGTGTGCTTTGTGTGTGGTTGAGCGCTTTGGGTAAAGCAAATTGGTTAGGAACATAAGTTCCTGGTTTTAAGGAGGTAAAAACATGAAGGTGTGAGTGAACCTGGGGTTGGTTCAGGAAAGTCATGGTTGGCATCTGTTAACCTTTTTGATGTGCCAATTCCAGACACTGTATTAAGTGTTATTGTAAAGATTAGAAAAGAATTCTAAGATTGCTGTGGGATAGGCATGTAGCCCTATTTTACAGGAAAACAAAAAACATAAGGCCCAGAGAAGCTTGAATGGAAGAGATAACATAGTTAGAAGGATGGAGTAAGGGTTTCATCCCCAGAGGTTGTCTCCAGCCTGTGTCCTGAATCAGTGCAGCTTTGCTTCTGGAGGTGAATGGGCCTTAAGCTGGGACTGCTTTGGCAGGAAGCACTGCATGGGCGAAGGTTGAGGGGCAAGGACTGATACATAGATGGTTGAGGAGAAGCAGCTGCACTGTGAGGTTTCAAGAAAATTGGGTTGTGAGATCAAGCTGGGGTAAGAAATTTGAGGAGATGAATGCATTTGTGTATCTGTGCTGGTGTTCTGTCTCACAGAGAAGGGTCTTGTCAGTCATGTTGCCAAATTAGAACTACCCTTCTGTTGGAACAGGTCCTAGACCAGAAGGAGCACAGGCTGGATGGCCGTGTCATTGATCCTAAAAAGGCAATGGCTATGAAGAAGGACCCGGTAAAGAAAATCTTTGTAGGGGGTCTGAATCCTGAAGCTACTGAGGAAAAGATCAGGGAGTACTTCGGAGACTTTGGGGAGGTAAGTGTGTAGCTCTACAAGTGACTTGCCAGCTGCCCCAGAGGCTGCCTTCCTGGATTTTGGTAGCTTTGGCCAGCAGGAGCCACCTTTTTCAGTCTCTGGCCTTCAGTAGGTTTTTTTCTCCTGTGAATTTCCTATATGCTCTGGGTTTGGGGGTGGGGTAGTGGTCCTCAGGTTTGCCTATGCTTTTTGCAGATCGAAGCCATTGAGCTTCCAATGGATCCAAAGTTGAACAAGAGACGAGGTTTTGTCTTTATCACCTTTAAAGAAGAAGAACCTGTGAAGAAGGTTCTGGAAAAAAAGTTCCATACTATCAGTGGAAGCAAGGTAAGGTTTGTGTGCATGGCTTTCTGCTGCAGAGCTGGGCCCTGCAGGTGTGTGTTAGGGATGTGAGTTAGCCAGAGCTTAATGTTTCTCTGCAGCATATGCTGCCCTATACGTGGTTCCTGTCCTTTGTAGAGCTCCTAGAATGGGAGGATTGCCAGGAAATACACAGGATGTGAGGGGGAGACAGGAGAGAAAAGGTGGCTTCTGTAGCTAGAACGTGCTGAATGGCCTCTGTTTCCTGATTTTAAGGTAGAGGTGACATTGTTCTACATCATAGAGTCCAGGGTGTATTACACCTACAGTTAAGGTCTCAGAAGATTCTAGAACTTCTGCAACTCACTGATTTTCCTCTGGTTTTTCTTGCTCTGGGGCTTTTCTGCCTATTCATACATTTTTGTCCACTTCTATCCCCTTGTGCCCTGCTTAATCAATCTTAGTCTCAGGTCCAGATTCTTCCCATAGAGCTTCCATGGTCCTAGCAAGCATAAATCCAGGGCCATTTCTGCTTTGTAATTAGTGGAGTCATCATGTACAGTGAAAAGTATGGTTCTTTCCTGGACTCTGGTCAGGGAGAAGGTAGTTAAGGCTTTAAGTTGGCGGTTAGCCTTGAGGGTGTGGCAGGGTGCGGCAGACACTGCTTCTTAGCTAGAGTTGGCAGCCAGATAAGGTGGGACAGGTAGGGTGGGAGAAGTCTCCATCCAGGTTGAGAGTTTGGAAAGATTGGACTAGGATTAGACCCTTAAGGTTCTTTTTGTTTGTTTTTTTAGACAGCCTCTTAAGCTGTCACCTTTGGTAGAGTGCTGTGACGTCATAGCTCACAGCAACCTCGAACTCTTGGGCTTAAGTGATTCTCTTGCCTTAAGCCTCGAAAGTAGCTGGGACTGCAGGCCCCC